GCATCCGACCCTTTGTTTTGGCTCAGGTCCTGATCTCAGGGTTGTGAGATGGAGGCCTGCATGGAGTCGGCTTGGGATTCTCTCCTTCTCCTTGTGGCCCTCCTGCTCATTCTCTCTCTTTCTCAAATCTTGAAAGGAAAAGTTCTTTTTTAAAAAATATTTTACTAGTATGACAACAGTTGTTGCTGAACGTTGTCTGTGTGTATGTGTGTACACAGCCAACTTTTAGAAAAACACAGATTGATTTGGGCTAATTAATAGTGGTTTAGATTTAGTTAGAGATAACCTTGTTCATTTCTCAGTTACCTAATGTTCACCAATGAATGGAAAAACTACTGTAGTAAAACTTTAAAGGATTTAAAAATCATGAGGTAAGGAATAATATACTTTGATTTTCACCAACGGTGCCAATTTTCTTAGTTGTTTAATTTAGAATTGGCTACATTTGTCAGATAACATTGCCATAACTTTCTGAAAAGACTTCTTTTAGGATAATTGAAATCCAAGGGGAAAATAATTAATGGTTTCAAAAGGTTTAAACATTGGTATTATAAATTATAATGTTGGACTAAGTTTTTATTTCCCTGCAAGTTAGATAAGAAAGAGAATATAGCCTTGTGGTTCTATTTTCTTATGCGATGTTCATATGTTTAAATAAAACCCATTAGAACTATATTTAGTTTATCTGAGAAAATGGGCTTCCTCGGTCATTCCTGAGGTTAGGGTTTGTGTATGGGGGTCTGTCTTTAAGTGAATGCTAGAAGTAGTACTGGAGTCCAAGCTAAACTGCTTTTTAATTCCTTGATTTAGAGAGTTCATTCAAACTGTGTTCATTCTGTTTAGCCCTGGTGCCCTTGAACTTGAGCTGTTGGCACTTTAAATTTGTAGAAGAAGATGATTTGCAATGACTTTAAAGAACCAAGAGACAGTTATTCAAAAGCAGATGAAGTTCTAATCAGAAGTACAAATGGACTCAGTATGAAGATGGTGGTGGCTTGGTTCCATAGGAGTGCTGAATGTACCTACTAAGTGCGTGGAGTTGCTTTAGGGAAAAGAATTTTCTCAATGTATGAAGTCAGTAGCAGACCAAGGGCAGTAAGATGCTAAGACAGTAGTTTATGTCACTAGGGACTTGTATTTCCCAGACCTATTGAACACTGAAAACTTGATTGATTGATTGAGAGAGGCAGGAGAGGCAGAGAGGATCCCAAGCAGGCTCCATGTCCAGTGTGTGAGCCTGACACAGGGCTCAATTTCACAACCCCGGGATCATGACCTGAGCCCAAATCAAGAGATGGGTATTTGACTGAGCTCCCCCCGGGGGCCCTGAGAACACTGAACATTTAAAAACATTCTAATTCATCGAGGGAATTCCAACAGAAGCTCATGGGTTACATACTCAGATTGAAGGAGATAGAGAAAAATGAACTCCTATGAATTGAGTGATCATAATTTTTGTTCAGTGTTTAATGTCTGCCAATGTGAAATTCTAGATAAATAGAGCAGAAGTCTGTGATCATAATTTAGGCAAAATGAAACAGTTGAAGATTGGTAAGCATTGCATATACAGCTAAAGTGTATGTATAGTATTGTATAGTATTGTACCAGGGGATACACATACATATTATACAGCATAGGAGACTTTGGCTCTTTTGAGAATCATCTACCACTTACAGACCCCAAAAATATATGAAGTGAATTAGTTTTGGTATTTTTAAGCTTTCTTTTGTGTTTAGTCTGGCTCTTCTAAATCATTTTTTTGACTGAGTTGCCTAAGAACTGTTTTTCCACACATTTTCTATGCCGTCAAGCGCTTTGATGATTCAGCATTTCTTGAGAATGCTCAGTTACTTCTGGAATTTTTTCTCCAGGCCATTGACAACTCATTCTGCAAGTTTTGATGCTAGTACTTCCTTGATCTTACCAGAAGATGTCAATGGAAGTTTTTCAGGTAATAACCAGAAGAACTCAGTTTTCTTCAAATGGTTTGTTTTTTTTTCCAAATGGTTTTTAAATGTTTTGCTGACTGAAATGTTAAGGGGTTGCACTTGTCCAGTGATACTACCAGCAGTAACAACTCACTGCACCCTCCAGGGGTCTTACTCAAGTGTTTATAGAATGCACAGAGAAACGACAGACTTGGTGAGTTATCTAAAGCTCCAGAATGTCTATCCTAGATGAATTTCAGCCAAGCTCAGCTATATTTCTTTTTGCTGAAATCCTTGGGGCATCTTTCTGCTCTAAGGGAAATTTTCTGAGACACTCTAGGGAATCTCTTTCCCTTGGGGGATTTTATGTCAAATTGTACATAACTATGGCCATGGCATCGACAGCTGTGTCATTGAGCTAATGGAAAATTTAAGATATAGTGTGATTTTAGAGACATCTGGCTTCTTTTATTTGGCATGTCTGAGATTGATTTATCCATGCTTGGATTTTTTTCAGCCAGAGAGGACATTAGCCTCTGTGGGATCATGGAGAGTTTAAAGAGCCATTTAGGGTAAAGAGTAGGTCAAGGTCTTAAAAGGCTTGGAAGGTATTTTGGACTTAATTGAACTTTATTCTAAGGGGAAATCATTTTAGGATTTTAAGCAGGGAGAGGACTTGAAATCAGAATTTATTTATTTATTTATTTTTTTACTTTTAAGCACATAAGCTTGTTAACCAACTGATCAAAGTCAGGATCACCAATAATGAAAATGACATCATGTCCTTGGCATTTTGTTACATCAGGAATAGGCATAATTAATTATATCACCAGTGCAAGAGTGTTCCCAAAAAATGTTTATCTGGAATCTAATCGTAAGACTACAAATAGATCCTGGTTGAGGTATATTCTGCAGAAAGCTGGTCTGAACTTTTTTTTTTTTTTAATTTTTATTTATTCATGAGACACACAGAGAGAGGCAGAGACCCAGCCCGATGAGGAACTAGATCCTAGGACCCCAGGATCACGCCCTGAGCCAAAGGCAGATGCTCAACCACTGAGCCACACAGCGCCCTGGTCTGAACTTTAAAAAAAAAATTTCGGGTGATCCCTGGGTGGCACAGCGGTTTGGCACCTGCCTTTGGCCCAGGGCGCGATCCTGGAGACCCGGGATCGAATCCCACGTCGGGCTCCCGGTGCATGGAGCCTGCTTCTCCCTCTGCCTGTGTCTCTGCCTCTCTCTCTCTCTCTCTGTATGACTATCATAAATAAATAAAAATTAAAAAAAAATAAAATATTTTAAAATTTCGTGCCCTAAAAGACTGTAAAAAGGTAAATAGATAGTTCTAGTTGAAGGAGACAATGACAATGTGAGTATAGTATCTGTGGTTTTTGATAGGGTCTGGAATTAAAAAAGAAAAAAGAAAAAAAAAAGAAAAAATACCTCACAACAACTGAGGGGCACCTGGGTGGCTCAGTTGCTTGAGTGGTGAACTCTTGATTTTGGCTCAGGTCAGGATCTCCGGGTCTAGGATCTGTCTCCCTGCTCAGGGGTGTGTGTATTGCTTCCAGAGTTTCTTTCTGCCTCTCCCCACTGCTTGCAAGCCTTCTCATGCTCATGTCTCAGATAAGTCTTAAAAAACCTATAAAGGACATTATTGGTGACATTTGAGGAAATTTATACTTTTAGTATTAAATTTCTTGGATGTAATTGTATATTGAGTTATATAGGGGAATGTCCCTGTTGATAGGAAGTACATGCAGAAAAGTGTTTTGGGGAGAGAAAGATCTATCATTTATTTTCCAAGACTTAAGAGGAAAGGAGTACATATAGATAGAAATAATGCAAATGCAACAAAATATTACTAATATTGAATTTAGGTGGAGAGTGGGGTTTGTTGTGCCATAGTTTATTTAATTTTTTTTTTTTTTTTTAATAATCTGTACAACTGTGGGGCTTGGCCTCATGACCCTGAGATCAAAAGTTGCATGCTCCTCTGGCTGAGCCAGCCAGGCACCCCTGTACCGTATTTTCAACCTTTCTGTAAGTTTAAAAGTTTTCAAGAAAAGGAGGGTAGAACAAGCGTATAATAAGGTCAGGAGCTAGAGAGTCTAACTCTTTGATTTAACCCTTGTAGGCTCAAATTTCATTCAGTGTTGTGAGATGTTTTTTTTTTTTTTTTTTTTTACTAAAATCTTCAGTGAAGTTTGTACATTTCTAAAGTACGTAAGGTGTGAGATAATTTTCTTTGAAGAAAATGTACAGTTTGTCCCGAGTTAAAGGTGTTGATGAGCTTAAATAAGTAAATATGCTACTTCCACTAGCCTTTGTGGTAATGAAAGGATTATTGTGGGTAGTTGAGTATCCCAGATGATGTGTGTGTGTGTGTGTGTGTGTGTGTTGGGGTGGTTCTTAAAATCTCTTTTAACCCTAAAACTTTCATTTTGGCAACTGAAGTCTCTTAAAGTGTCTTTTTGGAGAGCAACTACCTGAGTAGATTTGGTAACTGAGAAAATTCACTTTCCAAAATCATTTGTATGGTATATAATACTACTTTTCTCAGACATCAAAATATTCAGTCACATAAGCAAACTTTCTGACGTAAGAAAAGTGCTTTTAAATACAAAAATACCAAAATTAAAATAACTTTGAAAGTAGTCTTCCAAAAAAAAAAAAAAAAAAGGAAAGAAACTAGTCTTCCAAAAATATAATGCATATTTATTTACCCACTTTCCTCTTTCTGCCTTTTCCAAGTGCTAATTGTTTTGGGCTTTGAAAAGAGCTACATCTACCTCCTGCTTCTGCCATTGTGTCCCCAGGCAGGTGACATAGTATCTGAGTCTCATTGTCTTCATCTGTAAAATAGAAATACATGTCATCATGAGTAAGAAAATGTGTAAAGCACATGAAATAACTAGGTGCAAAGGGAATGTTCCCTTTTTATATGAAAAATCTTTGTATTGTAAAAGAAAACATGGATACAGAAAACTATGCACAGCCAATGTATAGTTGAATGAATTATAAGCCATGCGTGCTTTTTATCCAAAGTATTGAAAGGTTTTTTTCTCTAAAGCCCAGTAATTTTGTTAGGCATATGTGTTGGTACAGTGAAGGTTAGCATGGCCCCTGTGCAAGGATGACAGGCAGGCAGATTTGTGAAGTGGTCCCTATTTTTCCGTGCAGTGGCCTGGATGGAGCTACAGAGCATATTGCTAAGCAAGATAAGTCAGAGAAAGACAAATATGATTTCACTCATATGTGGAATTTAAGAAACAAAGCAAATGAGCAAAGAGTGGGAAAGAGGGAGTAAGGCAAACCAAGAAAACAGACTCTTAACTGTAGAGACTGAACAGATGGTCACGGGACGGGGGGGGGGGTGGGGGGGGTGGGGGGGGGGTGGGGGGGGGTGGGGTGTTAAACAGGTGATGGGGATTAAGGAGTGCAGTTGTGATGAGCACTGGGTGTTGTGTGGAAATGCTGAATCACTGAAGTCTACAAATATTACATTGTTAACTGGAATCTAAATAAAAATGTAAAAAAAGAATATTGAAATCGGTCATTCTAGGTTTGTAGTTTAATTTTGATTCCTGTTCTTTTATGCCTTGTATAATTTTCTTAGTATTTTTTTAGTTCGTCTGGAAGTCATAGTTTCTAGTTTTGATGTTTCTTTTTTTATTTTTTATTTTTATTTTTTTTAGTTTTGATGTTTCTTTTTGGCTTGCTCTTGTAGGGATGTTTATTCCTTATTCTTTTTTTTTTTTTTTTTTTTACTTTGAGTAACATTGGGATTAGATTTCTGTAATTTCACTTTTATGTGAATATAATTTTTCTGAGTTTTAGAAGGAATCTTGGTTCTTCTAAAAAAACTTTTATAGAGCCCCCTCTTCTGTTGAAATTATGGCAGCTTGTTTTCTGATGATTCCTTGCTCTGATTCCTAACCCTTATTTTAGTATGGCCCTTCTATTTTTCTTCTTTGCCCTTGTCCTGCTTAATTGTGTTGGTTTCTAGCAGTTGTTCCTCTTTTCTGAGTCTTGGCCTAGTAAGGAGCCTGGCCTGTTAGTGGGAAGGTTCATGGTGATTAAACTTCCACCCCTTTAAGCCTTACCTTGGGTCCCCCCCCCCCATGCACTATTGGAGACATAGTGTAGACACCCCACCCCCACCCCCCCGGGGTACAGCCGCTGTAGTTGAGTTGGACCTTGTGCTTTCTTTTCCTTTTTTTCCCTCCCCTCCCCTCCCCTCCCCTCCCCTCCCCTCCCCTCCCCTCCCCTCCCCTCCCCTCCCCTCCCCTCCCCTCCCCTCCCCTCCCCTCCTCTCTCCTCCTCTCTCCTCCCCTCCCCTCTCTTTCCTGTGAGAGGGATCCCTGGGCCGTTCAGCGGTTTAGCGCCTGCCTTTGGCCCAGGGCGTGATCCTGGAGTCCTGGGATCGAGTCCCACGTCAGGCTCCCTGCATGGAGCCTCCTTCTCCCTCTGCCTGTGTCTCTGCCTCTCGCTGTGTGTCTCTCATGAATAAATAAGTAAAATTAAAAAGGGGGGGATGGTGGGGCAGAGGGAGAGAATCTTCAAGCAGATTCCTCTGCTAATTGGGGAGCTGGACCTGGGACTTGATCTCACCACCCTGAGCTCATGACCTGAGAGCTGAAACCAAGAGTCAGGTGGTCAATGACTGAGCCACCCAGGTGCCCCTGGGCCCTGTGCTTTCTAGATAGTACTTGTTGACTATTTTGGAATTCTAGTCTCAAGATACTCAGGGAAGCTAGGCTGTTTCCCGCAAAAATGCTTTAACACTAGAGTTTGTGACTGGTGGTTTATTCCCACCAGCTTGTATTTTGGAGAGTAACTTGTCAATTAGTTTTTGGTTTTGCTGTGTAGTTGTTCAGTGATGCCTGGAAATTCAGGAAGATCCAGAAATGATACCATCTCCATCTTACGAGAATCTGCCAGGTTCGTCTGCTTATTGTTGCATTAGGGCACCGGTATGGTTTGTGTCCTTATTATTGTCTTATTGATGTCTTAAAAGGTATCTTTATGACCTTTATTATGATGACCTCAAGTCAGTTGAGAGGCATGCTAACCTTTTAGGCTTTTGTGTTTATTTTTTTTAAAAAAGATTTTATTTATTTATTCATGAGAGACAGAGAGAGAGGCAGAGACCCAGGCAGAGCCTGGGCTCAGACCGCTGAGCCACCAGGGCTGCCCTATTTTTATTTTTTTTAAGGATTTTGTTTTTTTAGGTAATCTCTACAGCCTGAGACCCAGAGTCACACACCCTACAGGCTGAACAAAGCAGGGACCCCTGTGCGTTTACTTTTTAATAGATCGTATAAATAGATTTAATAGATTTTTCTGTCATGTAGTGTTGAATTTTGTCTCTACTATTTGTCTTTACACCTTCTTTTCTCATTAGGGTCCTTTTTCTAATCGGTTAAGGTTTGGAAGTCTCATCAAGCTTTATAACTCTTATGAAGTAGGAGTGTGTAGACTCTAGGTTTTGAGGGAAAGGAAATTTTGCTTTCATGACTGGTGACCTTTCTGCTTTCCCTGGAGTTGTTGAAGCTTTGTTCTGGATACCTGAGGTTGAAAGAATGAGGCAAGGATTCAGTATTTCCTCAATGACCTCTGATGTCATATGATTGAACTTTTTCAAAAATTGGTAAGAAACCAGTATACATTATTCACTTTAAAATGCGTTTATGTGGGTAGCCTGGGTGGCTCAGTGGTTTTAGTGCCATCTTCAGCCCGGGGCCTGATCCTGGAGTCCCGGGATCGAGTCCCACATCGGGCTCCCTGCGTGGAGCCTGCTTCTCCCTCTGCCTGTGTCTTTCTCCCTCTCTCTGTATTTCTTGTGAATAAATAAATAAAATCTTTTAAAAAAATGCATTTAAGTAAAAATTAGTTGATTTAAAGAAATAGACAGTCCTCACCATATAGTAGTCAAATGACCATAAAAAGATTGTGCAAGCTGAAATCATGCGAAGCAGTGTTGTTGTTGTTTATTTTTGAAGAGTATGAGAGTGCAGGCACAAGTGTTGCAGGAGGGGCAGAGGGAGAGAATCTTTAAGGAGACTTGCTGAGTGTGGAGCCTGGTACAGACTTGATCTCAGGACCTGTGAGATCATGACCGGAGATGAGGCAAGGAGTCTGATGCTTAACTGACTGAGCTACCCAGGCGTCCAGAGAATCTTAAGCAGGCTTCAGGCCCAATGCAGAGCTCATTGCCGGGCCTGATCCCACCATCCTGAGATCATGACCTGAGCTGAAATCAAGAATTAGATGCTTAAACGATGGAGCCACCTAGGTGTTCCTCATGCAAAGGAATTTTAATTAATCAGTGGGAAGATTATAATGGTTTTAGGTCCTTTAAAATGTTTTGTTAAAACATGGGCAGCCCTGGTGGCCTGGTGGTTTGGTGCTGCCTCCGGTCCAGGGCGTGGTCCTGGAGACCTGGGATCGAGTCCCGCATTGGGCTCCCTGCATGGAGCCTGCTTCTATCTCTACCTGTGTCTCTGCTTCTCTCTCTGTCTCTCTCTCTGTGTGTGTCTCTCATGAGTAAATAAATAAAATCTTTAAAAAATATATTTTCTTAAAACATTAAATCTTACTGTTAATTATACAAGTGTAGAGAAATAAAATACTGCAACTGTTTAGTATAAGTTAAAACATTAGCACAGTGAGAATTCTGTTTTCTTTGTGAAATTCTGATCGAGACTAGTTTAAACAGTGCTTCCCTTTATACCTTTTCTATGCTTTGATGGTTTTCAACATTTTATCCTTTACAATTGAAAGGTCATGAAATATCTCCGAGAATTTCTATAATGTGAATTATTTCCCTAGAGTCACTTTCTCTGGGACATTGGCATCCTTTTCATCACAGTTGCTTTCCTCAGTGATGTTGATAAGTTCGCCTTCACCAGGCTCCTCCTGCTGTGCATTTAGAGCCATTCAGACTGCAGCAGTGTCCACACTGCCGGGGCCACCTATTTCTCCTATAACCTCATTTACATCGGATTCTTATTTCACTTCCAGTGTGTTACTTTTCATTTCTTTGTTACAGATTCATCTGGGTTGATCCCTTCCCCCTTGGGTTATCCATGGGTTCAAAATGTCCTGTGGACTTATCACTGGGCAACCAGGAGGTAGCACAACTTTAGCTGTTGCTCTTGTGTGTCCAATTGCCAGTAAACTTTGAAAGAAGGGACACACTGGTCACTGGTCATAATATTTATTTGTGATGATTTATGGATCGAAGAGCTGGCAATGAAGTTTGTACTTAGTGTAATTACGAGAACTGGTAACTGAAATCTGAGCCGCGTCGTTGCAGACTCGTGTTAACTAACCCGTGATAGAGATCATAACTCAAATTTAGGCACGTTAGTATCTTGCAAAGTGAGAACCTCTGCCTACAATGTAAAAACAGGTTGTACTTGGATTTGGTAAACAGTATGATAGAGATAAAGGGACTGAAATCTGAGAAATGTACACAGCAACAAAGTAGCCATTCAAAAACACTTCTTTTTAGAGTCTTTTATTTTTAAGTAATCTCTATACCCAACATGGGGCTCAGACTCACAACCCTGAGGTCAAGAGCAGACCGAGTCCGCCAGGCGCCCCAGCACGTTCTGCCCCTCTCTCCCCTCCTCCCCCTCCATTCCCTCTCTCCTCTCCTCTCTTTCTTTCTTTCTTTTTTTTTTTTTTCTCTCTTTCTTTTTTAAGTAGGTTCCACGCTGGATGCGGAGCTTCCTGCCTGAGTTCAGTGCAGGGCTTGAACTCATGACCCTGAGATCAAGAGCCAGGTGCTTAACCGACTGAGCCACCCAGGCGCTCCCACATTTTCTATTCTTTACAAAAAAGTAAGATTAAGGAATTTTAGATAAATTCTTTAAAGAGTAGTGTTTGTGTGTAGACTAAGGGCAAAGGTCTGAAAGGAAAATGTTTTAGCATTTCTTGCACTCTGTAAACTTCTTTCTGTGATCTGCTTTTTCGGCACATTGTTCAGTATTTATATGATTAAAATCTTCATTTTTGCGATCTCAGTAATTCTTTCTGGCCTGTGGTTCGGTCCATCTCACAAATCCTTTGTGGATGGCTGTTATTGTTGCTTGTTCCACTACTGTAGCAGAAGTGTTTAGGGATTTTGTGAGTTCTGCATTTATTTTTTTCGTATAAATGAAAAGGAAGGAAGGGAATGGAAAGGATTACATAGGTGTGTGAAGCGCTGGCTTATGCTTTTTTATGTGCAGATTTTACAGCTGGAGGGGGAAAATCCCCAGGAATGTTTGTTGTAAACAATTAAAACCTACTGAAGGGTATGAAAAAAAAATTAGATCACTTGTGGCTTATCAGTCTCCTACAACCTCCGTTAATCCGTTCATATTTTTCTGTTTATCTGTCCGTTGGTATCTTCTTTATACGAGCATATACATTCTTTTACTTGATGAAATATTTTAAAATGGGATTATTATATTCTTCCTACAAGTGTTTTTCCAGAGTACATACATGTTTTTAAAGTTTTTTCTTATGTAAAATACACAAAAACAGAATGGAGACTAGACTGAAGTGAACACTGTGTACCTTTCATCCGACTTCAGTCATTTCGGTACATAAGTAATCTGGTTTCATCCATGCCCACCTACTCTTGCATTAGTTTGAAGTCGGTTCCAGGTAGCCGTTTTAGCATACATAGTAAACAATTTTACGTTTTGCCAAATTGCTTTCCAGAAAAGCATTATCAATGTATAGTTGACATAGATAAGATTTAAAAAGCCTTTTAAAATTCTGATGTTATGGGTTAGATGCATGTATATATAGCATTTTCCTCCAGTAATACAAAAAAATCCCAATCAGGTGAATTTGAGCATGCTTATACTCTGGCAGCAAACTTTCAGTTCCTCCTCAGTGTATCCCTCATAGGAATGCTGTGACTGTTAGATAGGATGACCTTATAATTTATTAGTAAAGCTAGGATGCTTTTGAGATTCAAAGGAGGCACTATTAGTAATAATGCCAGTATACCAGGCATAAACTAGGACTATATTTTGGCACAGCTGGGTTGTATACCCACTTTATCAGATAATACATATGTATGTATAATCAGAGAATACATTTATGTATAAAGGTGACTGTATTATTCAGTAAATGCTGGCTTTTATTAAAGTGTTTATGTATGCCCATGTATGGATATGTATAAAAATCTTCCCTTTAAAAGGTATGCTTTGAATTGGCAACTCAAAGTCCTAGGTTAACAGTTTTTGTTTGTTTGTTTGTTTTTTCTGTGTGGTTTTGGAACTGATAGTGACCACTGTTTTTTAAAGGAGCTCTAAATTTTGTAATTAAGAGGACATTTGCCTTAATATTTGCAGCTGGAGAATGCTGGAGGAGACCTCAAGGATGGCCACCACTATGAAGGAGCTGTTGTCATTCTGGATGCTGGTGCCCAGTACGGGAAAGTCATAGATCGAAGAGTGAGAGAACTGTTCGTGAAGTCGGAAATCTTTCCCTTGGAAACACCAGCATTTGCCATAAAAGAGCAAGGATTCCGGTAGACTTTTCACTTATATTTTCTATGAGATTGAGCTTAGATTGTGGAATTTTTTTTTATTAATTTGCTTGGGCACTGAATTTTTTCTTTTTTAAAGGTTTATTTGAGAGAGCAAGAGCGTGTAGGGGCAGAGAAAGGGGGAGAGAGAATCTTAAGTAGTCTCCATGCTGAATATGGAGCCTGAGTGGGCCTCTTGTCAGGACCCTGAGATCATGACCTGAGCTGAAACCAAGAGTCAGACACTTAGCTGACTGTGCCACCCAGGCGCCCCAGGCACTGAATTTTTTAAATGAATACAAAACCTGCAGTGGATTTACAAGACATTTTCTTCCATCGTTCAGATTTTTTTTTTTAAGATTTTATTTATTTATTCATGAGAGAGACTGAGAGAGAGAGACAGAGACACAGGCAGAGGGAGAAGCAGGCTCCATGCACGGAGCCCTATGTGGGACTCGATCCCAGGACCCCTGGGTCATGCCCTGGGCCGAAGGCAGGCAGGTGCTAAACTGCTGAGCCACCCAGGGATCCCCCCCTTTTTTTAGTTAAAAAGATTACCCTAATTTTAATTGCACAGTTACAAGAAATTTTCATTTGAATATTAAGTCATTCATTCATCCCAGAGCATTTGATCAAAGGAATATATAAAGTGGCTAAAAGAATTTTGTGTCCAATGAGTCTTTTTTTGCCTCCTATCCCCAAGAGACTAAGTTTCTAAAATACGAAGATTTCTCAAGTCTAATATAGGGTCTAATTCAACAGCTTATATGCTCAGAACTAGTCAAAATGGTAGCCAACATATATATATATTCTTCCTTTAACAATTTCTGGTTAATGCTATACCTTTTCTCATGGAATTGATACTCTTTTTTTAAGAGTGTTACCAGAAGCAAGCAACTGCAGTTTATTACTTTAATTGGGTCTTAGACAATAATGCTGTATTTCTTCCAGGATAACAATGTTAATTTATCTTAAAAATGTAATTTTTTCCATTAGAGAAATGATTAACTTTTAAAGGCTTCATGGACATGTTTATCCTGTGATTCTTGTTTCTGAAATAGAATGGATTGGAAATCAGAAAAGACAGATTGAAATTTAACTGTGTCCTAGTCTTAGGGTACAGTTAAAAACAGTCATCTCTTTTAAACTGTAGAATCTTTAGAGTAAGAAGGGACCCTTGAGTTACTCTAATTCGACTGTCTCAGTTTGCCAGTGAGGAACAGCTTTAGGGAATCAAAACACATGAGAATTCTGAATGGCTTTATGTCACATCTAAGCTCCTTTATTTCCTTCACCCCAAAAAGAATATCTCCAGCAAACTAACGTAGGCTAAAATGTTAGAGAATAAGAAACCAGATACTTGGCAATAGAACGCTAATTATTTTTCCTTGCCACCTGATCATAAACAAATCTTAGGTCCTGCTTGTGCCTAGAGGTTCTTTCTGTGTAGGAGTATAGAAGTATTTTGCTTACTATAATCCTTTCTGCTGAGATATCTATTTGACCATCCTTTTCCTAGAGTATTAGTATTATGAGAAGAGAGACATTTTTTTTAATTTTTATTTATGATAGTCACACAGAGAGAGAGAGGGGCAGAGACACAGGCAGAGGGAGAAGCAGGCTCCATGCACCGGGAGCCCGACGTGGGACTCGATCCCGGGTCTCCAGGATCGCGCCCTGGGCCAAAGGCAGGCGCCAAACCGCTGCGCCACCCAGGGATCCCCGAGAAGAGAGACATCTTAACCTACATGTGTTTGGAAGCTTGACCTGCTTCAGATTGGTATTTGGAATGCCTTGTGGCTTATTGGCTTTATAATTGCAAGTTAGTTTCAAAATAATTGCAGGGTAGAACTAGGAGATTCAGAACGAATGATTAGCTCTTCTTAAGAGTTATTGAGATAAGAATTTTCCATAATTGGCTTAAGTACTGCTTGAGTTACAGCCTTGACTAAGTCCATTGCCTTTTCTTTTTAATAGTATTAAGAATCTTATAGTCCTGAGTTGTTTAGCAGATTAATGAGGGATGTTGGACAGCCCTGGGGTGGTTATCTTTTATAAAACTAAGTATAACGTACTGAAATTCTAGAGGTCTTGATAATTCAGTATGTTTTAAAGAATTTTAGCCTATGCATTTCTAAAGAGTTTATTTATTAGTGAGAGACGACACACACACACAGAGAGGCAGAGACACAGGCAGAGGGAGAAGCAGGCTCCACGCAGGGAACCCGACGTGGGACTCGATCCCATGACTCAGGATCATGCTCTGGGCCAAAGGCAGACGCCCAACCACTGAGCCACCCAGGCGTCCCTAGCCTATGCATTTTTAAAGAGCTAAGTTGCATATCTACCTTTAGGGCCAACACTGCACCCCTTTTGGATTGTTACCTTAACGATGTAAGATTCATCATCCGGGGAGGTTGTCTTTAGTTTCTTTTGTAGGAGGTGGGCTAACGAACATGATAAATAGCATAATTCATGTTAACAATATAAAGTTCAAAAAGTGGGGTCTTTGAGGTCAGTTGAATTGTTATACTTTTTAAAAACATCCTATCTTGTAATTTTTATGAATTTTTTATTATATGGTTCTTAATGGATTATAAACCTGCATTTTAGTTTGTGTGTGTGTTTTTTTTATAATTTATTTATTTTTTTTAAACTTTTATTTTTTTTTTGATTTTTATTTATTTATGATAGGCACACAGTGAGAGAGAGAGAGGCAGAGACACAGGCAGAGGGAGAAGCAGGCTCCATGCACCGGAAGCCCGACGTGGGATTCGATCCCGGGTCTCCAGGATCGCGCCCTGGGCCAAAGGCAGGCGCCAAACCGCTGCGCCACCCAGGGATCCCAGTTTGTGTGTTTTTATATGACAGGCAGCTGCTACTATAAAGTGATTTGCTTAAATTTGGAAGAAGATTTTGGTTAGATCTTATAATGCATTTTCCTTTAGAAATGTAAGATAAATCAGGATTCCTGCAAAACTCAGACGTAAAATGAGCTAGAGGATACCTTAAATTCAGTGACAAGCATAGATAAGCCTGTATTGTAGAAGAGGGCATGTATGGCAAACCGGGGAACATGAGTAGTCTGAAGGTTCAGGTCTCTGTGATTCCAGTTATTCTTAGCCATGTGAGAGTGAAGGTCAAGTGCTGTCAGACTTTTTCTCCCCTCTTTCTAAAGAAAATCCAGAAATCTGGATTTTTATGTAAAATTCGTGATATGTTAGAGTGTTCTCAATCTTTGGAGTGTATGCTGAGGGCCAAATTAGATGTATCAGTGGCCAGGTGAGGAGCATAGGCCTCAGTTTCAGCCTTTCCTATAATAACAGTTGGACTCCCAAGTTTTAACCCACAGAATGCTCTGTAAATTATAGTGAAGTTACAGTATTGCCTTGGGTTCTGAGAGAATGCCATATGGGCAAATTCATATGTTAGCTGCCTTTCCAGAGCCCTAGGTAAAACTGTTGAGAATGTTGGACAGATTTTCAACAGGCAGAGTTAGGTTATTGTTCATATCCTGTCTTCCTTTGTTGTATTTTGCTTTGAGTCATCCAGGGTCTTTTGTGACCTGCTGTACTCCTTGGTTTTCAGAATCTCCGTCTTCCTTTAGAATTTTCATCTATGTTCTTCATTAATGAGGAAGACAAAACAAATTCATGCTAAACCTTCGCAGTTAGAAACATAATTTATGTATTGGAAGCTTGTACTTATTATTATTAACAAGTGAATGTTGGTTGAATTGATGGACTTTCACACGTTGTAATAGAATAGAAATGATTAAGCTGTGTGAAGGCTGGATCTGCTACAATATACTGAAAACATAACAAAATCTCTGAATCTGTGCTGAGTCTCCCTCCATGCTTGAAGGGGGAGAGGGCATAAACTTCGTGATAAAAACTAGCCGTTAGAGGATTTTTCGCTGACTCTCTTCCTTAAATCCACAGTGCTATTATCATCTCTGGAGGACCTAATTCTGTGTATGCAGAAGATGCTCCCTGGTTTGATCCAGCAATATTCACTATTGGCAAGCCCGTTCTTGGAATTTGCTATGGCATGCAGGTACATCTGTGAATTTTCCTGAAGAGTGGACTTAATTTATTCTGTTTGTGACTCTCACTGTATTAATATTTTCTGTCTTTAGAGTATCTAGCATGTTTAGTTGTATGAGCTAATTTGTGCGTGTTACAACTGTTTATAGATTGTTTCAGTGTGGCAAAACTGACCTGAGTGGAAATCTGTTTTTAGAGCTGTAACTATATCACTGCATACAACATAACACTGTCCCCCCCCCAAAAAAAAAAGACATTCAAATTTACATGTTACAGAAATAGTATATGGAACTCCTCTATATTTTTTCTCAATTCTTTTATTGTTGATATATTTTTAAAAGATTTATTTCAGAGAGAGAGAGCACGAGAGCACATACATGTGCATGAGCCAGGGGCAGGGCAGAGGGAGAGAATGATGGGGGGGAGGGCGCAATTCCATGACCTCAGTATAGTGACCTGAGGCAAAATCAAGAGTGATGCGTAACCCACTGAGCCACCCAGGTGCCCACCCCTTACTCTTTAACCATTAGAGAGTTAGTTGCACACATGATATCCTGTTACTTGTATTTCCAAAGGACTAGGGCTCTATCCTGTGTAACTACAGTATAGATATCAAAATGGTGGGGAAGTTAACATTGATTCAGTTTTGTATTTAATGCACAGATTGCATTCACATTTCATTGTTTGTCTCATTGATGTCCCTTGTAAGTACTGCATTCAACCCAGGACCATGTGTTCTACTTAGTCGTCACTTCTGCTCCTTTGTTTTGGAACCATTCCTCAGTCTTCTCTTTCATAACCATGACAGTTAAAAAAAAAAAAAAAAAGTCATTTCAGTGACTTTGTAGATTATCCCTCCATTTTGGTTTATTTGATGTTTCCTCATTGTTAGGTTCAGGTTATGTTTTTTTTGGTTGGAGTACCACAGAAGTGATGCTGTGCTCTTAGAGCCATCTCGTTTGGAGGCATGTGCTGTCAGTGTGTGCCATGGCAGGTGATGTTAATTTTGATTATATCAAAATTATTGATACAGTATGTGACACAATATTGTATCAAAAACAATAAATAGGGACTGAGGTCTAGAGATAAAACTATTCTTGTATGAGTTAAGTGTTTAGAACTATTTTGGCTACTTTGACACTTTTTTAAGTTACTTTAAATAGTATAGGTTTATTAGACAAGTAGAATATGATTACTGAATAAGATGATAGATAATACTGAGCCAGAAATGTGCTAAATTCTCACTTAGAATGATTTATTCAATAAGATCTATATACTAAGGAGGTGGGAATAGAAATAAATACATTTAAGAAAAGTTATCTCTAGTGCTTGTAAGCAAAATGATTTTTTAATTGAGATAGTTTTTAACAGTGCGTCTTACTTAACCATATCATTTGAAAATTGAGTTAGCTGGGAAGGTACTCCCTGAGTAATTATTAATTGACATGTTATAGTAATTTGCCTTTTTCTACTGTCAGAAGCGAGATACTTTTTTTTTAATATCAAAGAAGTTTAATACACTGCAATAAAATAAGCGCCTAGAAAAAGCCTGTGGAATAGATGTCAGTGTTAGAGAAATCCCTCTCCACACATCCTCTAGCTCCATACCCCAGTCCCTCAAAACCAAACAAGAAAATCAGAAACAACAAAGGAAATCCTTCCAAGCTTGAAGTTTAATGAGGGCCCCTTTACCAATAAGAACACAGTTTCCTACATGATCTAATAGGAAAGCAAAACACAGAAGCACATGAAGTCCACAGATTTCAGTATTTAAGGAACTCGGTATATATTCAAAGGTAAAATAACCCCAACTTTTATAGCTGTACCTATTGTTTTAAAGTAAATTAACATATTTTAAAATTTCATATATACACTCTCAAAGGTTCTTCGGGTGAGGTATGTAAACATTGTCTAATGAAAATTTTTCAGTGTCTCAAACCAATAAATTCACAGCATACATTCAATTTTTCATCCATTAAAGACACAGTATTTATCTACCCTCATTAACATGATGGAAATCCAGGCCCAAGAGAAACACACCAATCATCCGGATTACCATTTGCAGAATTTCTCAATTCACTGCTTTTGGAAAGCCCACCCTTGCACAGGTTGGGAGCACACACTTGGTACTGGGAAGGGGCGAGGCCCTCTGGAGACCCACTCCTTGGGAATCTGGATCACTGGCTTAAGACTCACAAGACAGCAAAAAGGAGCTCACCTGAACAACTACAAAATTGACCTCGGCAATGACAACACTGAGAGGAACCAGAAAGACCTTAAAGGGATGGTAGAGATTCATTTTAGAGCTCCCTGGATCCACAGCTGGATCAGCAGCCCTTGCCCTAATCTCATTCTGAAGGGTCGTGACCTGAAAAAGAATAAAAACCCCACACAGTACCTGAGCTTCAGTTAAATTGCATGGGCTTCCTATGCTCCCCTGACTTTTTTTTTTTTTAATATTTTATTTATTTATTCATGAGAAAGAGGCAGAGACACAGGCAGAGGGAGAAGCAGGCTCCCTGCGGGGAACCCAATGTGGGATTCCATCCCGTGATCCCAGGGTCACGAACTGAGCGAACTGAGCGAAAGGCAGACGCTCAACCTCTGAGCCACCTGGGTGTCCCCGTTTTTTAATTTTTTTTTAAACTCAGAATTTTCTACTATGATAAGAATAGGTGATGTTAATTTTGACTGAATTCACTTGTTTGTGAATCATTTTGATCTCTTTTCTCTTGTGCCTACCGTTAGGCTTTAGCATGTACTAAAGTGAAAGGGAGGACAGGGTCAGAATACAAGTGGAATTAATCTAATTACGAGATTCTACTGACTAAATGGAATCAGGGTTAATTGAAATATCAGCTTTTTAATTTCCTCATGATACTCTGGTCCTTCCTAATTGATTATTGAGAATTATCTATTAATTTTTGATTTCTTGTATTATGGCTTAATAATTAAGATAATGTGTTCTTTCTCCCAGTGACTGAATTGTTTTAAGTCTTTGGGTTGAAAATAATTCTTTAGCGCCTGCCTTTGGCCCAGGGCGCGATCCTGGAGACCCGGGATCGAATCCCACGTCGGGCTCCTGGTGCACGGAGTCTGCTTCTCCCTCTGCCTGTGTCTCTGCCCCTCTCTCTCTCACTGTGTGCCTATCATAAATAAATTAAAAAAAAAATTGAAATTTTAGTATGTGGAGCCTTTTTTTTTTTTTTTAATTGGTTGAAACTGTTGTGCTTTACTATGAATATTGTACAGAAGGAGGCTGTTTAAAAGGTAGAGAATGAGCAGACCAGTATATTTTCTTTTAGCTGGCTCTGGAGCATTCAGTGAAGGAAAAAAATATAAATCAATGTTCACATAAGAATGAATATTTTTATTATACTTGAAACAAGAATAGAATATTAGGAATCACTGGTCTGTAAAAGAGCTTTACCAGATTTCATTTCTTGCTAATTGTTATAGTTTTCCACTTTGATTTAGAGGAAATACTGATCCCTAAAAATATGTGATGTTCAAAGTACAAAGGCTACAACAATGGATATTTTTCTTCTCCAGCAACAAGCATTTTCTAGTCAAAGGCTCTGTTCTCTGAAGAGCCAAGCGGTGATAATGAATTTGACTTTGTTAATAACTTATTTTTGGCTTTTCTTGTATAATGTTCTAATGAATGTATTTTCTTAGAGCCTACATCTTGATTAAGTTGAACATGGGAAAGAGGTTGACTTTTTTTATTCATATGCCTTTGCCCTAGGATATATTTACATAACTTATTGATCTCCCATGCTAGAGTAGTCATACAGCACAACTTAAATATTTTTAGTATATTGAGAGGTATTATTCTGTAAGGAAGAGTCTCGCAGATATATTTTTTCAGGACCCACTTAAAGTGAAATGTCTCTGGAAAATGCTGCCTTAATTTAAGTGCTAGTGATTGACTTTTTCCCTTATGCCAGTCCTCCACATAATTGTAACACTTAATTTTTCTATCATACCAGTGGGGATCTTACGGTAGCCAGAGCTAGATGTGCTCACGTTAAATGTGTAGAACAATTTGCTTTTATGTCTTTCTGAACTTACGTAGTAGGACAATGGATTAGGCTGAATTTGGTCTTTTAGATAAAAATTGTCTTTCTATAAAATATTGGTATAGATGATACCATCTAGCTAATATGCTGTTTGTAAAGGACCAATATTTCCTTGTCACTGTTAGTTGGATAAGTTTACACTAAAGGTCTCACCCTAGTTTGTACTTTTTGCCCCCAATAGCATCCTGAAGTTTTAGTACATTTCAGGAACTTAAGTACCATTTTTTTCTCATTCACTGAATTCCTATCATCAGAGCCTTTCTAGTTGCTTCCTGGTAATTCTTTGCTTTAGAAGAAAAAAGTCTCCTCATTGCTTCTTTTATCTCTATATACCCTTGGTAAGCACAAGAAATGAAATAGAACTTTTGAAACTTTTTCAAGTGAGAGGCAGCACTTTTCTTGAGTTGTTATTCATTCCTTTTTTTTTTTTTTAAGATTTTATTTATTTATTCATGAGAGAAACAGAGAGAGGCAGAGACATAGGCAGAGAGAGAAGCAGGCTCTATGCAGGGAACTCTATGTGGGACTCCATCCCAGGACCCTGGGGTCATGCCCTGGCCCGAAGGCAGATGCTTAACCACTGAGCCACTCAGGCGTCCCCATTCCCTTTGTTTTCTTTCTTTTCTTTTCTATTTTGTTTATTTATTCATGAGAACACTGAGAGAGACACAGGCAGAGGGAGAAGCAGGCTCCATGCAGGGAGCCTGATGTGGGACTCATCCCAGGTCTCCAGGATCACACCCTGGGCCGAAGGCGGTGCCAAACCGCTGAGCCACTTGGGCTGCCCTCCTTTGTTTTCTTTGTAGCTTTATACCTAAGTTCATATCCCTAAGTAATACGTTATTTAGTTTTGCCCATTGACCCTTATGTAAATGAAATCCTGTGTGTATTATTGTCAGCTTTGGTTTTAAGATTCATTGATGTTAATACATTTAATTGTAAGTTACTCATTTTCACTATTGAATTTATTGTTTAGCACAGATTAATCATATATTCACTGTTAGTATTGATGGCTTTTTTCCAATTTTTTTGCTATTTAAAAAAATTTTTATCTATCTATCTATCTATCTATCTATCTATCTATCTATCTATCTATCTATCTATTCATGAGAGACAGAGAGAGAGGCAGAGACACAGGCAGAGGGAGAAGCAGGCTCCATGCAGGGAGCCGGATGTGGGACTCAATCCCGGGTCTCCAGGATTAGGCCCTGGGCGGAAGGCAGGCGCTAAACCACTGGGCCTCCAAGGATGCCCTCAAAATAGAATATTAAAACAAACTGTGACAAGAAAGCAAATTGTTTCATTATACATAAAAGTTCTCTCTTCCTCCACAAACACAAGCTTAGCTAGGTGTTCAACTCTTTGCATTTTAACCTTAAGTAGTATAGTTAAGAACCAGAAATATACCTGGAAGCCTCCTGAACAGGTGAGATAGCTTTAAATTTTACTGCAGCCCTTGGTTTTGTAAACACATTTAATTTGGATTTTGTGGACTTTTAAATTGTGTTGAGTTTCAACAGTTTTAGTTGTCTTGATCACTCAGCTGTCCTCTAAGGACAGCAAGTTAGGGGAGGTAGAGGTGCATAAAGTTCACGGCGTCTATAGAAGAAAGCACTTCTTTTCCAGCAACTTTTAATGAGTGCTTTGCGCTACATACTTTGTTACCCACTGGGACTGGGAAGAGACCTGAAGACCTGGGGGAGAGAACACGGTGTATTTTGGTCTATTTTGGCAATTACGTGGCTTGCACGGCTGGAGTAGGCTGGAGTAGAGAATGACGGGGAAGAAGAGCGGTGACTAGCGGCAAGGGGGACTGTCGCAGTGTTCCTAAACTGGGTGGTAGTTCATGTCCTGCAGAAAGTGTTGGATACCTGGGGTTTCTGTTTGGGAAATACTGGGCCAAATGAATGAACAAGTTTATTTCCTACTGAACTTAACCCAAGGTTTTATCTCAGGAAGCTTTATTGTGAATGACTTGAGCAGAATGTAGAGGGCAGCATTTATTTGCTGATGGTTTTGAAGAATATTCTGCTGGGCATTATAAGGATGAGCATTTGTTTAGCCCTCTGCCTGCTTTTTTTGTCAGGAGCAGGGTCAGCCTGTATCCCGTATGGTTACGGCAGGTATCTTCTGACACCTCTGTGGAACAGACGTACTCTGAGATGTGTCACGGTGAATACATCAAGGCAGAAATAATTGTAGAATTTTTGTGTGTGTTTATTTGGTGTTGGGGAGGGGGTCAGGCAAATGTGAGTAATAAATAAGAAGATTGATCCAGGGAGGGGCAGAATGAAGAGACCATTTGGAATAAGAGTCCGTAGGCATATGGGATTTGTAAATGAATTTAATTGAAAGACCAGATCTTCTTGGGGCACCTGGCTGGCTCAGTCCTCTAACTGCCTGCTGTTGGCTTGGGTCATGATCCCAGGGCTCCCTGCTCAGCAGGGAGTCTTTCCTCCCGCCTCTCCTCCACCCCCACCTGTGCTCATCTCTCTTTCAAATAAATGCATAAAATCTTTAAAAAAAAGAACAGATTTTCCTGTTTATGCTCTTCCACAACATGGCCTTCTACAGGCTTTTGCACTGTTCCTTTGGGGCCAACGGTTACATCACTTGGAGAAGTTTATGCTTGTCTAGTTTTAATACCACAGCTTTTCATATCATCTGCTTTAGCTTTTTCTAAGCCCAGAATACCTTTTAAAATGCTCTTAAACTCAGATGTAAGTATTAAATCTCTATTTTTAAAAGATGAAAATTAAAGTACACTCAATGGAAAACCTGCCAGTGTTTAATAGAAATTAACCTCAGGTCAGATTTCTAATCTAGTTTCGCTTTATAACTATTCCTCATGATAATTGTATAATTATATTTAATAATACCAAGTTGTCTATGTTTGTTTAACTCATTATTTTTGGAGCAGAAACATAGCAGATATCTTGAAAACAAAGGAATATAAGTTATTAGCATAAGAAAATGATTGGGTAATTTTTTTAAATTTATATTAATGTCAATTTATTTTCTCTTCGAACAGATGATGAATAAGGTATTTGGAGGTACTGTACACAAAAAAAGTGTTAGAGAAGATGGAGTCTTCAGTATTAGTGTGGACAACACTTGCTCATTGTTCAGGTATAGATATTTCTAGATGCATATGCATAGTTTAGTAGAACGACAGATTTAAAGTTGGGATTGTTATTCAAAATTAGAGATTCTATAATTCTTAGGTGAATTAAGGCCATATTCATGGTCAGAGGTATAATTGTCATATTTGTTTTCCATTTGAATGTCAGAATTGCAGAGGATGATGGTGATGCTAAGTGGGGGGTAAGGAAAGCGCTTGTGACATAACTTGAAAGCAGTCTTGGATCTATCTCTGTTTGGGATTGCATACTGTGATGCCAACATTTGTAGTTTTTCCTTTTTCACTCTTTTTTTCTTTTTTTTCTTTTTCACTCTTTGAAGTATGATTCTAAACATTAGTGTGCCAGATGTGGCAAATGGATAATTTTTTTTTTGATAATGTTTTAAATTATCTTGCATCTACTGAATGTGTTTGTGTATCTCTTCCCTCGTATTTTTGCTGGGTGCTTAGCAAACGACCAATTTGTTGGACTCATTACTAAATATGTGTTAGGTTTCCCTCCTTCTCACCTTCTCTGTATTAAGCATAACAGTACCTGGTGTACTGTCTTTCAATATAGTGAATGTATTAATTGGTTTTTGGTCTAGGTAACAATAAGTTAGGTGCTGTAGCTTTAATCTATTTAAAAATTGGCAAATGAGCTGTTCACTACCTTCCTGGAGTCATTTATCTTCTACTTTAAAAAAATGGCTGCATTTTCATTCAGTTTATGAAAAGACCGGAAGCTTTCTGTTTTGGGGTTTTCCATGTTTTGAATAAAGCTCATTTTGTTGGACTATTGATAGGGTTCCTCACTGGCCTGTTTTTTTTTTTTTTTTTTTTTTTAAACTTTTAAAATAATCTCTGTGCCCACTGTGGGACTTGAACTTACAACTCCAGAATTAAGAATCACATGCTTTATTGACTGAGCCAGCCAGTTGCCCCTGACTCCCTTCATTTTGACTTAAATTTCATTTTTATTTTTTTGTTTTTTAAAAGATTTTAAGTAATCTCTGTACTCAGTGTAGAGCTCAAACTTACAGTCCTGAGATCAAGAGTTCCATGCTCTACCAACTGAGCCACGAAGTGCCCCTTAAATTTCATTTTTACTTTAGAACTACATTCTCCCCTTACTGCATTAAATCTATAAAATGCAAGCTGATGTCAGTGAGCCACAGTTACTTTCTTTTTTGGATGAATCTGAGAAGTTTACTTTTATCTATTTATAATTGAAGTATAGTTGACACAATGTTACATTAGTTTCAAGTGTACAACATGGTGATTCCATGTCTATTATGCAGTTATTTTGTTATATCTTTTAATTGTGCTAATTATTTCTAGCTACAGGTATGTTTTGTTGATTACCATACTTGTGTGCCTAAATTAATTTCTGATGAATAGTTTTCTTCATGTTGGACAGATCAGAAATTTTAAAACCCAAGTTATAAACTTATTTTTATCAAAATGGAGATATCCCTGTTTAGACACAAAATGGCTCCTCTTTAATTTTGAGGAAGAGCAAAAATAAGTGTATCTGTTCAAAGATTCTTGTTTTTCAAAGGAAGATTAATAAAGCCAGGGTGGCTCAAAATAATCTTAGGAACTGAAGTTACTCATTTCCAAAATATATTTCAAATCCAATGCGTGTTCCACTTCATAACGGAGAGGTGTTGCTTACATTCATCTCTAAAGTGGCTAGACTGAGAACCATTTTAAATTCATGGTGGTATGTGATATTGCAAGAGGCTTTAAATCTAAAGATCTGGTTAAAATGTAAAGTTTTTCTGTCTTCCTAGCTCTAAAATTCTGGGACTCATTCACAACCTACATTAATCCTAAGCAACAATAATGACAGTAGTAGTAAGTCTGAAACATCCTTTTGGCTTTAATGTACTTTATCTTCTTGCTTTATTTTTAAGTTACTTTTTAATTTCTTAATATTTAATAATCAGCCCTCTCAGATTTTCTCACAGTGTAAAAAATATCTTTTTATAGTTGATTTGTTTGAATCAGGGTCAAGAAAAAGTCCACATATTGCATTTGATAAATGTTACTTGTATCTTCTTTAATCCATGCCTGTAACTTGTTTGGCAGGAGATGAGAAGTAGAGGTCCACATTACTACTGGGTTGTCTTTGTTTCTAGGCCTCTTCAGTGAATAAAGTTAGTATGTATTCTTTTAGAGGGAACAAAATCAGTGTTCACCTTATTTCCTTTTAAAATCAAAGTTTATGGGGTTTTTATCTCTTTTGATTTTGTGTATCCTTACTAGAGGCTGAAAACCTCAATTCTTAAATATTTAATATTTGTTTTAACCTATAATATGCAGGATTTTATTTTATATAAAGGTGCTAAATAACAATATCAGTATTAGTACTATTTCTGATATAAAACTACTGAATGTTTAGATTTCTGCAATGCCTTCTGTTCTTAAGATAAATCCAAGTAGAGATAAAATTTTAAATTATTATTTAAATTATTAAATTGTAATTATTATTAAATTATTTATTATTATTTTGTAACTTCCTGAGATTATTTTTTTATGCATGCATACCACCAACTTTTAAATATATGCTTGTCAATTTTCAGTTTTTCCTGATTGCCTTCTTTGAGATTTAATATTCTTAGTGGGTTTATAATGCATAGAATAAGTTTAAATTCTAGCAGTGTTGTACTATTACATACATACTTTTTTCTGTATTTTTTTATTTACTCATATAAGTGAGTTAGTATTTCTAAAGAAAAGAACAAACTTAAGATCCCCAGAATGTCTTTATCATCTTATAACTAAAATGTTCAGGCATGATGATTACAGTTAACAACACTGTATTGTATACTTAAAAGTTGTTAAGAGAGTAGATATTAAATGTTCCCCATACACATAAAAAAATGGTAACTATGTGCTGTATGTGTTAACTAACCTTATTGTGGTAATTATTTCATTATATATATCAAATCATCATGTTATACATCTTGCTTAATGTTATATGTCAGTTATATCTCAATAAAGCTGGGTAAAAATAAAGCATAAGATCCCATTGATCATGTCTTTAATTAAGATATTTGTATGTTGTGTGTGTTTTTGTTTGTTTTTTTATATGTTTAGGGGCCTTCAGAAGGAAGAAATTGTTTTGCTTACCCATGGAGATAGTGTAGACAAAGTAGCTGATGGATTCAAGGTTGTGGCACGTTCTGGGAACATTGTGGCAGGTGAAAACTCTAAAACTTTTGCCAATTCTGTTTTAAACTTATCTGAAGAGTCTAAGAATATGTTTCTGCATGAGGTACTGGGTTTTTAAAAATTTTTTAAAAAGATACTGTAAATGTCATGGGTTCACCATTAATTTATGAAGGGAATTTAATATTAGATTATTTAGAAGTCACTTACTGGTTTTCTCTGAAATATTTTTAAAAGTGTTCACTCTAATAAAAGTTCTCCAGGTGTAAAACACTACTTTTACATCTCAGGAAAAATTTGAGAATGGTCTATTTTTCTAGTGTGCTTATTAATTCATAATTAGATTTTTAAATGCTTTTCTTAGATATACACAGGCTTGTATCTTGGACATCGGCAAAACACCAGACTGAGCACTCAGGACATTTCTCTGAGCCAGGGTTGGCAAAAATGTGACCTGTGGGTCAAATCTAGCCTATAACCTATTATGTTATTAAAGGGTTATGATAAAAGGGATTGTATGCCTGTGTTCCACAGAGCCTAAATTTTTACTATTTAGCCCTTTGTAGAAACATTGTCTAATCTGTACTTTATTTTTTTTCAAGTTTTATTTATTTTTTAAAGATTTAAAAAATTTATTTATTCATGAGAGACAGAGAGAGAGGCAGAGACACAGGTAGAGGGAGAAGCAGGCTCCATGCAGGGAGCCCGACGCAGGACTTGAACCCTGGACTCCAGGATCACGGCCTGGGCCAAAGGCAGGCCCTACACTGCTGAGCCACCCAGGTGTCCCTAATCTGTACTTTATTTTTATTTATTTATTTAAATATTTTATTTATTTATTCATGAGAGAGAGAGAGAGAGAGAGAGAGAGAGAGAGAGAGGCAGAGACACAGGCAGAGGGAGAAGCAGGCTCCATGCAGGGAGCCCGACGTGGGACTCGATCCTGGGTCTCCAGGATCACATCTTGGGCTGAAGGCAGGTGTTAAACTGCTTGGCCACCGGGGCTGCCCCCTAATCTGTACTTTAAAGCCATTTTTATTCTCTTCTTTTTGAGGAAGAGGAATTGATTTTCTGGCACTTGTGATTTTTTTTTAACCTGCTTATTTGAATAGTTATTATGTAAATAATTACCATAATCCTGGAAGTCAGTTAAAGAAAAAAAGTGGATTTACCAATAAAGTTCTTTTTGTTTGAAATGCACACCTAAACAATACATGGTAAAAAAAGATTTGTCATGGATAAACTGAATTGAGTAATCTGCCTGCAATTAATATTAGAATAGGAATGATCCAGAATGGTTTTCATATGGAAATGTTTTTATTTAATATAAAAGATAAACAGTGGTAGATGGATTATGTATTTTTATTCACTTAACAAATGTTTGAGTGCCTACTTTGTGTCAGTGACAGTTCCAGGTGCCAAAGGTAAAGTAATGAAAAGTGGACAAAAATCTGTTTTTCATTCTAGGTGGGAGTAGGGATGGGACAGCTAATACACAAACAAATACAGAATATGTCAAGTGTCAGTGTTTAAGTACACTGAAAACAATAAAGGAAGTGTAGAGTGTTGCAGAATATGTGTGATTAAGGTTGTTACTCTTTATTTAGGATATTTTGGGCAGGGTATTCCTATAAAATGGACATGAAGTAAGTGCTATTAACCCTTCTGGACATTTGGAGGAAGAGGAGATAGCAGTACAAGTCTAGGATGGGACCATGTTTGAGGAACAGTAAGAAAGACTACATGGTTGGAGCTGGTAAACATAGAGGAAGATTGGTAGAAGATGAGGTTGGAGAGTTTGTCAGGGTGGCCAGAACACAGACCTCTATGAAACTGTTGGCTTTACTCATGATCTAATTTCAGGATTACTTTGGTTACAGTGAAGTGAAAAGAGAAAGGGTCAAATGTAGAAGTAGGGAGGTCAGCTAGGAATCTATTGCAGCAATCAGGAGCAGAGGCAATAGTCTAAGGAATAAGGTTCTAGAGGTGGAAGTAGTCAAGAGTGCTTGGTTTCCCATATGGAGCTTGTATGTATTTTCTTAGATTTATACCTTCATATTTCATTTATTTGGCTGATAATCGGTTTTAATTTCATATTCCACTTGTTCATTGCTATTATATAGGAAAGCAATGAACTTCTGTAAATTCACTTTACATCCTACAACTCTGCTATAATCATTCACTAGTTCCTAGAATTTTTCTGTTGATTTTTGTTTTCAGATTTCTGCATAGATGATGTCATCTGAGAACAAAGAGTTTTATTTCTTCTTTCTCAACCTGTATGCCTTTTATTTCCTTTTCTTATTGCAGTAGTTAGGACTTTTTTTTTTTTTTAAGATTTTATTTATTCATGAGAGACACAGAGAGAGGCAGAGATACAGGCAGAGGGAGAAGCAGGCTCCATGCAGGGAGCCCGATATGGGTCTCGATCCTGGGACTCCAGGATCACACCCTGAGCCAAAGGTAGGCGCCAAACCGCTGAGCCACCACCCAGGGATCTCTAGGACTTTTTATATAGTGTTGAAAAACAGTGGGGAGAGGGAACATCCTTGCCTTGTTCCTGATCTGAGTGGGAAAGTTTTGAATTTCTGTTATATGATTTTAGCTGTAGGTTTTTAGAAGATATTCCTTATCAAGTTGAGGGAGTTTCCCCCTATATTCCTAGTTTACGGAGAGTTTTTATCATGAATGAGTGTTGGATTTTTTCAGATGCTTTTTCTGCATCTATCGAATCAGATCATATAATTTTTAAAATCGGTGGAGGCCTATTGAAATTACTTATTTCTTTTGTGAGTTTTGGTAAGGTGTGTCTTTCAAAGAATTGGTCCATTTCATCTGTGTTATAAAATTTGTGGACATAGTTATTCATAATATTCCTTTATTATGTTAATGTCCCTGGGACCTGTAGTGATGTTTCCTTTCTCATTTCTGATATTAGTAATTTGTGTCCTCTCTCTTTTTCTTAGTTAGCCTGGCTAGAAGCTTACCAATTTCGCTGATCTTATCAAAGAAATAGCTTTTGATATTTTTTATTTTTGTTGTTGAATTCCTGTTTTCAGTTTCATTGATTTCTCTTTAATTTTTATTTGTTTTGATTACTTTGGATGTAATTTGTCCCTCTTTATTCATTTCATAAGGTGGAAGTTTAGGTGATTGAGTAAATCCTTTCTTCTAATATATGCATTCAGTGCTGGAAATTTTCCTCTAGGCACTATTTTTGTTGTCTGTTGGTGTTCTGAGACCAATTTCCGGTGTGTGGGAGAGTTGAGGAGGGTTTCTGACACCAACAAGCAATTCTTACACACCAGTATGGTATTTGAGAGGGCATCTCTCTTTCCTTTTTTTTTTTTAAGATTTTATTTATTTATTCATGAGAGAGAGAGAGAGAGGCAGAGACACAAGCAGAGGGAGAAGCAGGCTCCCTGCAGGGAGCCCGACATGGGACTCAATCCCTGGTCTCCAGGATCGCACCCTGGGCTGAAGGTGGTGCTAAACCACTGAGCCACCTGGGCTGCTCTTGAGAGGGCATCTCAATTCAGCTCAATTCTGATATTATGTACCCAGAGTGTACATAGCACCAGATTTCTGGGGTTGAGGGCTGCATCCCACAAGACCAGTTCCCCCTTCCCTACCCACACATACTTCAGACACCAGTTGCAAGCCCAGGTTATCACTGTGCCTCTTACTGACCAACTATAGATTGGAGGTTCCAGTGACCGACCCCCCTCCTTGGATTTCAGATATAAGTCAGAGGTCCAGGTTATGTGTATTCTGACTGACTGGCTGTAAATCAGAGATTCCCATGAGCTCTTCCTCAGTTCAGTTAATTCTCTAGAGTGGCTCACAGAACTCAGAAACATTTTACCACTAGGTCATTGGTTTCTTATAGAAGAGTGTAATTTCAATGGAATATTACTCAGCCATTAGAAACTACGAATACCCAGCATTTGCTGCTTCAGTGTGGATAGAACTGGAAGGTATATGCTGAGTGAAGTAAGTCAATCGGAGAAGGACAAACATTATATAGTTTCATTAGGTCGGGGAATATAAAAAATAGTGAAGGGGATTAAAGGGGAAAGGAGAGAAAATGAGTGGGAAATATCAGAGAGGGAGACAGAACATGAGAGACTCCTAACTCTGGGAAAAGAACAAGGGGTAGTAGAAGGGAAGGTGGATGGGGTGTTGGGGTGACTGGGTGATGGGCACTGAGGCGGGGACTTGACAGGATGAGCACTGGCTGTTATACTATATGTTGGCAAATTGAACTCCAATAAAAAAATACACACACAAAAAAAGAAGGGTATAATTTGGGAACAACCGGATGGAAGAGATGTATAGAAGGGCAGAGAATGGGGAAATGGCGTGGAGCTTCCGTGAAAGTTCCAGGCCTCTAATCACATGATTGTCTTGGCAGCCAGCCCCCATCCTTAGGTGCTTTTCAAAAGCTCTCATCTCTTAGAAAATTCCAAAGGTTTTGGGATCTGTGAGCCAGGAACTGTAATGAAGACCAAATAGAGGTTTCTTATAAATTATAATTTTGCACCCTGCATCCTCCAAATTTTAGAACGTTGGTTCATTTCACTTTTGTTTAGTTCAAAATAATGCTTCATTTCTCTTAAAATTTCTTCTTTCTTTCATCATTACTTAGAAGTCTTTAGTCTCCAAGTGTTTTGAGATTTTCCATCTGTCTTTTGGTTAATGTGATACCTGGTTTAATTCCATTGTAGTCTGAGAACAGACATTGTATGAGTTCTGTTCTTTTAAATTTATTAAGCCGTGTTTTATGTCTCAAAATGTGGTCTGCCTTGGTGAGTGTTCCAAGTGAGCCTGAGAACAATGTATGTTCTGTTGGATGAAGCAATCTATAGACGTCCATTACATCCCGGTTGATTGATGGTATCGTTGTGTCCTTACTGATGTTCTGCTTGTTGGGTCTGTCCATTTCTGATAGAGGGATGTTGAAATCTCCAATTATAACAGCGGATTCACCTATTCTATCACTTTTTGCCTCATGTATGTTGATGATCTGTTA